ACTTTAACCTTAGACTGTCTACTATTGACCTCACCCCTTTCCTAAGAGGTCTGTAGGGGGCGTGCATAAGCGCACCAACATGCCTACCGTCCCTGTCCTATTGTTTCTCTTATTCTTCTTTTATTTTTCTTATATGTACCCATTTCATGTATTCACAACTATGTATACACTTATACTTATTATCTTGTAAACAATTGGCAAATCAAATAAATAAATAAATAAATAAATAAATAAATATAAGTCTAAGTGCTGGTGTTCTTGCTAACAACGGTCTCACTTAGCAAGAGAAATTTTGGACTCAGTCGTGGTTGTAAGTCGAGGACCTGGAAGATACCAGTCTGGAATAAAGTTCAGCTGAAAGGTACCTATTTAGAGAACAGCATACAATAAGCACCTTCTGAGGGAAATCCCACATAATTTTGAGGTGGTTACTGCTCTATAGCCAATGCATTATGCAGACAAAGTTTTCGAGTTGTTAATATTTTATCAGACACTAAGGTTAAGGTGAACATGGGGAGAAAGAGATGCTGCCTAGTCAATAAATCTGTGAGGAAGGTTGGCATTAAAAAAAAGATACAGAGAATGTAATTCTCCAAACAGTGTTCTTATGGGCAGGACACAGAACTTAGCTAGAACCAGAGGTGGTATTTAGCAGGTTCTGACCAGTTCTGGAGAACTGGTAGTGGAAATTTTGAGTAGTTCAGAGAACCAGCAAATACCACCTCTGACTGGCTCCACCCCCATCTGTTCTCTGCCTCCCGAGTCCCAGCTGATTGGCTGGGTCTTCTTTTGTTGCCCTGCACAGGAGAACGGAGCTGGAAAGCAGGTTAGTGGGGTGGGGAGGGAATGGGGATTTTACAGTATCCTTCCCCTGCCATGCCCACCAAGCCACACCCACAGAACCAGTAGTAAAAATAATAATAATCCCACCATTGGCTAGAATCATACAAGGTCAGTTGTAAGATAGATGGGGACAACTGTCATAAATATGAAGCTGTTGTCAAGCAATCCAAATGTAAATCACATGGCCGTAAGGAATGTTGCAAGGATCATCAGTGTGAGAAATGGACTCATAAGTCACTTCTTTCAGTGCCATTGTATCTTTGAACGGTCCCTAAACAAGCTGTTGTAAGTCCAGGACTACCCGTACATCCTTTCGAAGATAAAATCTGCCTCGCTAAATGGCAAAGTAAGCTTGGATCTCGTCGCATTATGTGCTGATGAACTTGTGGATCTCGAGATGTTAATCAATTCAAATCATCTCTAATTACTGAATTGATACAAGATGATATTCAACCAAAGATTTTCCCAACCTGGCATAATGTATAAGGATCCTTGGCAGGCGACAAAGACCGAGAAAGACACTTTGTGATTCTTCCAAGCAGGTTTGTTTGTTTGTTTGTTTATGTGTATATGCATTCATTCATTCATTCATTCATTCACTCACTCATTCATTCATTCACTCACTCACTCACTCACTTATTTATTGTTTCTCACCAATAGACAGAATCTTGCCAAACCAAATCAAACAGGATGTCTCCTTGTAAGTGTGATGAGGCTTCTCTGTGGTGAAATATCACAGCAATCTAGGGCTGGAAGGGACCTTGGCCATCTAGTCCAACCCCCTGCTCCAGCGGGAAACCTTATATAGTCTGGATTATTTTGGTATCTCTAAGAGGAAAATTGCCAGAAAAGGAGATGGAGTTTACTAGGATAAGGCTGCCATGCAGAGGAAGGCAGAGATAGTCCTTGACTTATGACCACAATTGAGCCCAAAATTTTGGTTGCTAAGCAAGAGTGCTGTTAAGTGAGATTCACCACATTTTACTCAATCCATGACATCTCCTGGCACTAACAGTCATGTGCAGGCTAGGGAAGAACATCTGAAGGTGTGTGTAATGTTCTAATATACAGAAGTTATCGTTAAATGTGTGGCAGAAAGTGGACTCTGGGTATGTTTTTCCAAACACGGTGAGGTTGAATGTGTATAGTTTTAGAAGAGCTGTGTGTGTGTGTGTGTTTGTGTGTATATACAGTATATATACACTATAGTATATATAGTAGATAATGTATCTTTTTGTGTGCCTATACACACTCTATACTATGTAATATGTATGTACACATATGGCATATATACATAGGATTAAATAGTGTATTTTGGATGTTCAGTAGTAGTAAATAAATAGACAGGGAAATTGTATCTCTCTGAGGCGAGGAGAGGCCAGGCAAGGCGCCCCTTGTCGTGAGTGACGCCTGAATTGCTCTTCTTCAAAATCATGATGGATCTACTATCATTATTTTTTGCTTAATTGGATTATCTGTTGCCCCAAATAATTATAGGGGTAGAAAATGGGAGGAAGGGAGGAAAAAAACATGCTGGTAAGAACACACAGCGCCTGAAAGAAAAGGCACGAAGAAAACAATACAAATGGCTGCATACATGCTGCTAAAAAATGGAACGCTCTATGGTAGATTCCGTCTGGGGATCTCTTCGCCTCGTCAAATTAACCTTCTAAATTCTTTGATCAGGCTTATTTTTTCCTCCTTCTCTCGCCGCTTCTCTCTTCTCCTTGTCTCTTCCACGTCCCATAGTTTCCCCTCCCCCTTTTTTTGTCTCCATAATGCACTTAGTGCTTTCCCCCACTCCCCTTTCCATAACACTATCTTCCATTGTTTTTGCCGCAGAATGGAAAGGAATACGTGCTGGATGAATGAGGAAGGTTTTCTCTTAAGGGTGGTTGTTCTGGGCGGAGGGGATGCATTACATAGTACCTGGAAGTCTATGGGTTGTCCATCACTGGTGGATCAAGGTGTGGCCTTCAGAGCAATTGAATTTCCAGCAGCAATCTTCAGCTAAAAATTGTATCATCATTTCTGACTTCGAGTGCTTTAAGCCCATCAAAAAGAGGAGGGGGAACAGCAAGTCTTTTCAACGCAGATAAAAAGGAATTTGGTTCCTGATGCATACAGGGGAAACATAGAACTCTCTGCATCCGTTTGTACGGTCTGGGTGCCATTCAATCCCCATCTTTACAGTAGGGACAGCTGTTTTCGCACTGCTTCTTGCTGAGGTTTTATTAGGCTGCGTCAAAAGAATTTTTAGTGACTTGTCCTTTGTTTATTTATTTTTTAAATCAATTTTAATCCACTTTTCTCTTTAAATTGAGTACTCAGGTGACTAATATTGGTTAAATAAAGCAAAAAACAACAAAAAAAACACCTTTTCCAAAAGTTATTTTGGAATCGATTTTAAACCCTTGAAAACCCCAGTGGAAGAGATGCATTTTACAGATTTTCTAAGAATAAAGCACAAATACAACTCTCAAGGAGGTTCTTTCCAGTCTAGGAATGACTACCCATGCTAGATAAGAAAACTTCTCACTAGCCCGTTGTTGCAATTGTTGGGTTCTTGATGTTTGGTTAATTTGGTGATTTCCCTGAAATTATTTCATAATCCCAACAGTTCAGCTCTGAACCCTGCAGATTCTCTTGGAATCATTGTTATAAATCATGCATTCAAAATAAAATAAAATGTGTGCTCTTGAAACCTAAATAAACTCCTTGAAGCTATGAACTAGCAAATATAGCTGGGTGGAGGGGGGGGGATAATTTTTTTTTAAGCCATGAAAGCTTTTTGGTTTAAATCCACCTAGAAATGAGATGACAATATGTGGAGGATTTTCATTCTTTGGGTTGTAGTAGTTAAGTAGAGATTTGAAACTGCCTCCTAAGCCATGGGAATTTAAATAGAGATGAAACCTCTTTTTGACATATAAAGAAACCTACACAATTTCCCCCCCAAAATGAAGTACCATGGATACTTCTGAATTTCTATATGAGGGCACATTTTTATGACCCTGCATGCATCCCTCAATCAACTTTTAGTGTTGTTAACACAATTAGAATGAGGCTGCATCTCTTTGGGGTTTGTGAAGACTTATTACGTTGCTTAAGATCCTAGACAATTTCTATGTGTTCAGACAGATTGAATCTATCTATGATTTATTAATATCATGGACTTTATACAGAACGGCGATTAAAGCTTATGAACCCAAGTATAATTTCCCTTATGGTGAAGAGTTCATTGCTTTCTTTTTAAGTGATCAATTCCTAAATGTTTCAAGGACGATGCCAACATTTTTATCTAGGTTTAGCTTAAAGGAATCAGCTGGTGTTTTCTTCACATTGTCTTTGGCTTTTATGTAATTTATTTATATGCTTTTTCCCCCTCCCTAAACCACTATATATATGTTAATGTTTGTAAGTTTGATCTTGGGATTATAAATCTGTATATATAGCATCATCACAAAATCTCTAGAACCGTAAAGCTTACAAACTTGAAATTTGGCATGTATGTTCCTCTTGGCTTCTAGGTGCTGATTAAAGAAGAATTTTTCGAAATGACCACTAGAGCATTAGTATTTCCTATATTATTATTAATACACTCTGATGCTAAGGAGTTCTACTCCTTCTCCCCACCTGAAAAGAAATCTGTTCCAATTGCAAAATACAAGCAGAGGAGTTTCAGTTTTAGTTTCATAGTAGCAAGTTTTTAGTACAGAACAGTTGAGCTAAGCCACGCCCAGGTTCCTTGCTGTCTCCTTGCTCACAGAGCAAATACTGTTTCAGTTTCCAAACAGCTCTCAACTTTCTCACACACTGACAGGATGCTAGCCAGATGAATGCTGATGGATGCTGGTAGGCAGAGGCAGAATTCCCTCCTCCCCCTTTATTTTCCTCCCAAAAAACTAAGCCCGATCACATAGTTTCATGGCGGCAGTAGAACTCATGGTCTTCTGGTGATTGGCCCAAAGTCACCTTGTAAGCTTTTAGGCTAAGGACGGACTAGAACTCACGGTCTTCTGCTTTTCTAGCCTGGTGTCTAAATAAGCAGCCATTTGGCCCCAAAAACCCAAACTGTGACACAAACTGAAAGTTCAGCTGATTGTAACCGAAGCAACAACGGATGCTTAAAAGAATAAGTCAGTACACTTATAAAATAGAATCTGGAACTTTTAATAGGCTGATAATGAGACTTGTGGAAGGAATATTTTTTTTCTGACGACGGCTGCCTCATCCTCTCTCTTTCAGTATTTAAAAGCCACTTTCAAAGCAGCAGAGACCATGCATTTAAAATGGACGATATGGAGGGGGTGGCATAATTAAATACAGTATCTGTAGGTAGGAGTAATAAAAGAAGAGAGAAAAGAATAAGCACCAGGGCTCATGAGCCCTTCTAAAATGAAGCTCCTCTGGCAGGGATACAGCCGTGACCTGCTCTCTCTACCACATCATGCTCTAAGGGACAGAATGTGGAACACGTCATGCACCCTTCCACAGCTCCAGGACTTTCCACCCAAGCCCGCTTTAGACGCCAAGCTTGTTGGCTTGAGTGAGGACGACTTTCAGCACCGGCATGAACGCTGATATTTCGCTGAAGTTGCTTGTGCTGACGATGTGGGTGTGGATGTTCAGCCCCTCGGTGTAGTTCCGGGTTTCAATGCTCCTGGCAATGTTGTGCAAACCATTGATTATCATTGGAGAGAGCTGGAAAAGGAAGGGGAAAATAAACATGAGAACCATCCTTAACACGACGGTTGTTTCCCCATTGAGGGATCTGTTTGGACAGGAAAGACTCTCCAAATGGCTGCGTTAGAACGTCCGTAGCCTTTGAATGCGCTTCAACAAAAAGCGGCTGCCGATAGGTAAGGATAGTTGCATGTGCCAAATACAATTCCCACCTGTGACTGTAGGACTGTAACTTTGTCGCTTGTATCCTGACGATTTATATTGACTGTTTCCTAGTATGATTCGATTGCCTATTGTACCCTATGACGATCATTAAGTGTTGGACCTTATGATTCTTGATGAATGTATCTTTTCTTTTATGTACACTGAGAGCATTTGCACCAAGACAAATTCCTTCTGTGTCCAATCACACTTGGCCAATAAAAAGAATTCTATTCTATTCTGTTCTATTCTAATTGTATTCTATTTTATTCTATTTCATTTCATTTCTTTTATTATTCTATTCTATTCTATTCTATTCTATTCTATTCTATTCTATTCTATTCTATTTCTATTTCTATTGTATTTTCTATTCTATTCTATTCTATTCTATTCTATTCTATTCTATTCTATCCTATCCTATCCTATTATTCTATTCTATTTTCTATTCTATCTATTCTATTCTCTTATTCTATTCTATTTTCTATTCTATTCTCTTATTCTATTCTATTCTATTTTCTATTCTATCTATCCTATCCTATCCTATCCTATCCTATCCTATCCTATCCTATCCTAT